TGGGTCAAAGATAACGGTCGATAATACGTTGGATGAACGCTTGAAGTTGTTGGAGGAGAAGGTACGTTCCCCGAATCCATCCGTCCATCAACCCTGCTATGGGCTGACATTTCCTTCCAGATGTTGCCAGAAATCCGACATGAGCTCTTCGGCATAAATGAGAACAGGAAATTCTACACGTAGGAAACCTATAACTCCGTAAATAGGATTGCATACGTAAATGTAATCAAGAAGCCCGAGATTATGATTTCCTGGTAAGAAATCCAAAGAATGTAAATGTAAATTCCAACCATCTAGTGCGTTTGATAATATCTGCAATGATCTAGGGTATCACTCGTCTCCACTGAAACTCTTATTGTCCATTTACACCGAAGCTGGTCACGAAGAAATCACTCTTTATATTTGTTGGCTCTAATCACTTGTTACAGATATATTTTGAGAGACGTCGACGGTCTTGGTCACCGACCTGCCTCCCAAAATTGAGTATAGCTAACTTCCCCAACAATACCTCGTTGCCTCTTCATCTCGTCTCATAAACCCAAACCACTACACCCAAATATCCATAATCGATATAAATCTGGCTCGTACCGCTTTATTTCGGTCCAAGTATGATATTATTTACCATGCCGAGCAGTTACGCCACCGTAGCCGATTTCCGAGTGAGACACGTACCACATCTATAAAGTGAACCAAAGCCAAATCACAGTGTTAAATTCCACAAGAGACGCCATCATGGAAGATAATTATGACATCATCATCGTCGGGGCTGGGATGGCAGGACTCGCAGCAGCTCATCAAATCTTGACCAAACGTCCTTCCACCAAGTTGTTGGTATTAGAATCGAGAGATAGGGTCGGAGGAAGAATTTATAGCTACCCTTTGGATAGTGGTGCAGTCGATTTAGGTGCAAGGTATGTGCTGCTTCTTCGTGGACGCGAGGTCTGACCTCGACTCCTTTTACCAAAACGTGTCTTGTACTGTCTGAATAGTTGGATCCATGGATCTGTGGGTAACCCTATTGCAGAATTGGCCGAACGCCTGGGGTTTCCAATGACAATATCCTTTCCTTCTCTGCGCGCATTCTACTCTGACGGAACCGAGGCCCCTTCAAAGAAAGTCTATGATCTATTTCCAAGGATATGGGGATCAGCATTTGAGTGGTTGGGCGACGTTGCCCAGGGCGGCACAGAGGACGATGGGGAAATTGGAGAAAATGTGGGTCTCGGTGATCGGCTCTATAGAGACGATTCGCCATTGTATAAGAAACATGGTAAATATCCAATTAAAGCATGATAACAAAGTACTTATAGATGAAACAGGGGGTCATAAAGACAAGGACAGCCGAATGGTCGAGAGCCTCGCCCGAAACCTAGAAGGGTGGACTGGCGCACCTCTTGATTATGTCTCATTAAAGTGGTGGTGCTTCAATCAGGATACAGAGGGACCAGATGCGCTTCTCGTCGATGGCTAT